AAAAAGAGGACCCGTCATCCTCATTCTAATCACAGGGACGCACCAAAAAAAAAGAGGACCAGTCCCACCTCATTGTCTATCACAGGGGACCGCAAAACAAAAAAGGGACCCGTCATCCCTCATTTCTATCACAGCGTGGACCGGCAAAGAGAAGGACCCGCCATCCCTTCATTTCTATCCAGGGGACCGCCACAAAAAAGAGGACCCGCCATCCCTCCTTCTCTATCACAGGGCGTGCGACCCGCAAAGAGGACCCGTTCACATCCTCATTTCTATCACCGGGGACCGCAAAGAGGACCGTCCATCCACTCATTTCTATCACAGGCGGCGACCGCAACAAGAGGACCCGTCATCCCCTATCACAGGACAGGTTTACATTTCTTCTTAGGGGAATAAAAGGGACCAAAAAATAAATTCAAGGGATTCAAAAAAAAAAAAAACAAAAGGAGCCAAACATTAACAAACGTAACATCCAGAATATGAAAATGGAAAATAATCTGTACCTGCTTAGTCTCTGGGGATTAGGTTGTTAATTTTTTTTTTACCCAAACAGAGGGCACCCTCGAGAATAATAGTTACAATTGGTCTGCAATGAATTTCAGTACAGGAGGTGACATTGTTGTACGGCTCGCCTAGGATGGGGAAATCTTGGGGGTTGTGGGCTAAAAAAAAAAAAAATTTACTGAAGACCCCTACTATGTATTTTTTTGTTATTTAGCAAAAAAAACGGAAATCTGGCCACTTTCCATCACCGCAACAAAATGTACGTTTAGTTCTGTGGGGCCGGTTTTATGTAACAAATATTATTTTCCAACAAAGGCCCCCCCACCCCCACCAGAATAATCGGAAAGCGGTTGCAATGTTTACAATACAAGGATGTTACAGTGTTGTTATGTAGTGGCGTCAGTATTTATGCAGTTTTTCTATTTTTTTTTTTTTATCCCATTTACTTATCACCCGAAAAACAAACAGAAAAAAGAAAACACGAACAAGGTTCCCGACAGGTAATAAGGAAACTCGATTTCTTTTTTGTTTTGCTATAAAAAAATAAAAAAAATAAAAAAGTTACTTTGGAGGGTGTCGAATCGTACGGTAAATGTTTATAGCTGAAAAAAAAAAAAATAAAAAAAAGAACTGACGGAGATACCCGCTGCCCTGGGACAGTAAACATGGGTAAACAGCCGGTAGTCCGTAATAATTTTGCAACATAGGCACCGGTATTCCCTCGGGGCGGGTTTACAACGTTTCCCTCTACCGTCGTCTCCCTCCACTTATCGTGTCTGTCCCCCAACTCCGGCGCCACGAGAATAAAGGTGCCAGTTGCGGCATGGATTTCGGAGGTGACTGGATGGTACTAGGGGGGTTGTGGATCTACCCGGTTCTTCTACCGAATTCTGCCAGATTCTATACCGACCGGGGCAAGGCGGAGGGGGGGTCAAATCTGGTGGGCCGTCGTCAAGTAATATTTTTCTTTTTTTTAGAAAAAAAAGCCCCCAACTACTCTTACATGTCGGCCCACCCCCCCGGGAGGAATGTCTCAGAATTACGGGTGACAAGGGGGGAGAGTCACAACAAAACGTGAGGGTCCTGGAATGGGGCGCATTACAGGCCCCGGGCCAGCCTCAGTGGGGCCGAGCAGAACGATGGTCTACCGCTGACACGTGAACTAGGCAGACCGAGGCCCACGTCCAGCCACCCAGTCCCCCCCACCGATCACACAGCCCGCACCCCTCTGTCCCCCACATGAGTCCCGGGCCACCCTATATTCAACCCCACCATGGTTCCCTGCTCCGTGCCTCCTCCAGCGCCGCAAACAGGAAACTGAGCCTCCGAGATCCACCTCCCCACCACCTTGCCCGACCCACCCCCTCCGACTCGTTCCGCCAAATCCAACTGAGGCGAAGCCGCCTACCTCCATCATTCCGGTAACTTTTACCGATCCCGCCTTCATTCCCTCGGACAAAGCCAACTCAATAGTCGGAGACTCGGCCCGCCTTCCCATCGCGCATGCTCGCCTCCCCCTCCCCCACTGCCTTCCACAGCCTTCTCGGCGGGGAACCTGAAAAATGCAGAAGGTGTTTCTGCCAGCTGACCATAGAGCTGATTGGAGACCGGAATGGTGCCAATCATCTCTATAGTCTAAGAAATCGGAAGCTATGAGCATTTCATCACTTCAGTTTCGCAGGATATAAACAGATCCATTTTGTAAATTGGGAAAGCATCTGATCATACCGATCTTGGTAAGATTAGATAATGTAAGGGCAGAGGAGATATCCAGAGTCTGATAGACCCAGATTTCTCAAAAAAGAATATATGACAATGCCCATTGAAGTTATAGGGGATATTTGCATTCCCTGTGATAGCATTAGAAGTGATCAATAACAAAAAAAAAAAAAAATATATATAAAAAAAAAAAAAGGACAGTGCAAAAATAATTAACAAAAAAAAAAAAACAGCAAGCGCATGAGCACCTGCGTGCTCGAGCGTCCAACCCTGTGCCGGTACGTAAACAGCGGTTGCACCACACATGTGAAATATCGACGTGCAAATCAGATCAAGGGCAGTAGTAATTCTAGCACTAGAGCTCCTCTGTAAATCTAAAATGGTATCTTGTAAAGGCTTTTAAAGCATTGCCTATGGATATTAAAAATGTATGCAGTTTGTCGCTCCATTGCACAGGGACCATGCGCAGTTTTAAAGCATGTCATGTTTTTGATACTTTATCTATTTACTTGGCATATTACCATCATATTTTACCAAATAATTGGGCCAATATATTTGTGTTTTTGTTTACTCATTAAAAGTGAAAAAAAGTGCATTTTTTTCAAAAAAATAGTACCCACCATTTTATTCACTAGGGTGTCTACTTTAAAAAAAAAAAAATACTATTATGGGGGCTAAAAGTAATTTTCCTAGCAAAAAAAAAAAAAAAGATTTTTTTCATGTGAACAAAAGGCTTGGTCTTCAGGTGGTTAGAATTGAGTGAGTGATGTGTGGCATAAACTTCTAACTCTGGGCATAAAATGCCCTCACCCCACAAAATGACCCCTTTTTGGAACATAGACACCCAAAATATTTTCTGAGAGGGCATGTTGAGTCAATAGAAAAATGTATGTTTTTACTACAAGTTTTTGGAAAAATTAGCAGTCTAGCCAAGTACAGGACCCTAAAATCCAATAAGCACCTTAAGAAACGTGAGTATTTCGCAGATGTAATTTGTTGCCACAAGTTTTTGGAAAATAAAGAAAGAAAACAAAACATATTTTTTCTTTTCTTTTCTTAGATTTCAAAACCTTGTGAGAAAAAATGAGACCTACAAAATACTCACCATGCCTCTTTTTAAATTCCTTAGGGTGTCTACTTTCCAAAAAGTGGGCATTGGGGGGGGGGGGAGGGGTTGGTTGCTATCCTGGCATTTCAGGGCCTCTGAAACTGTGAAAGGTGGTGAGGAAGCGAAATGAGGAAGTTATGCACCTTCAGCTTTGAAAGTGGTCATTGGATTTCAGGCTCCTCTATGTGGCTAGGCTCCCAAAAAGTATCACACATGTGTTGCTGTCCCCATACTTGGTAGCAGTAGCAGAATGTCTTTTGAGTTGTAATTCCACATATTACCCATGGCTTGTGTGAGCAATATATCATTTAAGGGACAACTTTGTGTAAATATAAAAATGTTTTTGTCATATTCCAAAGACTTGTGGAAAAAAAATAAATCTTCCATGGTGTCAGGGCTCCGGGTATGACCAGAGGTGTATGACTGATGCAGGGAAACGCAGACTTCAGATATGTTATAAACAATATAATTTATTGACACTAACAATACAAACATAAACGCAGTGCAATACTAAAACATAACACAGTGCAAACGAACCAAACCAATCACCCACAGATAACAGTACATACAATGCAAGCGTCGTCAGGCAGGCCGGGTCAATATTCAATCAGGCAGGTAGGTACAGGGGGAGCAAGCGGAGAATGGTCGGGGTCACAAGCCAGGTTCAGCAGGTAGCGGGCAGCGTGGTACAGAGGGTCAGGCAGAGGGATGGTCAGGAACGAGCCGGGGGTCAGAGCAGGAGAAGTCAGCAGAGGTCAGATCAGGCAGGGTCAGCAACAAGACAGGAACAGGAACAGGATGCAGGAACAGGATACAGGGCCCAGGAAAAACACACACCAAGGCAGAGTCTGCAGGTCTGGCCATCCCTTAAATACACCAGTATAATCAGTTCCAGGTGTTTGACTGGCTGCAAGGTTGAGTCTCTGATTGCTGGGAGCACCCGCTGGCCAGCCCTGGTACTGCAGCTCATAAGGCAAGGTGAGTCCCACCATTGCTGGCCAGTCCATTCCTGACAGTACCCCCCGCCTCAAGGAGCGGCCTCAGGACGCTCCAAACAGTCCTAGCTGGGCAAAATGTTCCACCGCCCGGGTCTGGTAACTGGCGGGATATCAAAGACTGGCACACCCGGGCAGGACTCCGGGCAGCGGCACACGGGCAGGACTCCGGGCAGCGGCACACCGGGCAGGGGCACATCGGGCAGAGGCACATCGGGCAGAGGCACATCGGGCTGGACTCCGGGCAGAGGCACATCGGGCTGGACTCCGGGCAGATGCACATCGGGCTGGATCTCCGGGAAGATGGCACATCGGGCTGGACTCCGGGCAGAGGCACATCGGGCTGGACTCCGGGCAGAGGCACATCGGGCTGGACTCCGGGCAGAGGCACATCGGATTACCAGGCGAAAGCATCAGGCAGCGGGCCACCAGGCGGAGCGGCAGGCATCGGGCCACCAGGCGGAGTGGCAGGCATCAGGCCCCAGGAGGGGGGCGGCAGGCATCGGGCCCCCAGGAGGGGCGACAGGCATCGGGCCCCAGGCGGGGCGACAGGCATCGGGCCCCCAGGCGGAGCGGCGAGTGGGGTACCGGACCCCCAGGCGGAGCGGACAGGTCTCGGGCCCCAGGCGGCGGAGCGGCGGGCGCCGGACCCCCAGACGGAGCGACAGGTCTCGGGCCCCGAGGCGGAGCGGCGGGCGCCAGACCCCCAGGCGGAAGCGACAGCGTATCTCGGGCCCCCAGGCGGAAGCGGGGTGGGCGCCGGGGACCCCCAGGCGGAGCGACAGGTCTCAGGCCCCCAGGCGGAGCGACAGGTCTCAGGCCCCCAGGCGGGAGCGGCGGGCGCTGGGACTCCCAGGCGGAAGCGGCGGGCGCCGGACCCCCAGGCATGACAGTGGGCTCCGAGTCAACTGGCATGGACCGCTGGCACTGGGTCAGACATTGGATCGTCTGGCTGGACAGCGGGCAATCGGGTCACCAGGCATCAGGTCATTTGGCTCGACAGCGGGCACCGCGTCATCTGGCAAGGCAGTGGGCTCCGAGTCAACTGGTATGACGCGCGGGGCACTGGGTCAGACATTGGATCGTCTGGCTGGACAGCGGGCATCGGGTCACCAGGCATCAGGTCACTTGGCTCAACAGCGGGGCACCGCGTCATCTGGCAAGACAGTGGGCACCAAGTCACCAGGCACGACAGTGGGCTCTGAGTCAATTGGCACGACAGCGGGCACCGGGTCATCAGGTACTGGATTGTCTGGCTCGACAGCGGGCACATCGGGTCACCAGGTATGACAGCGGGCACTGGGTCACCAGGGATCAGGTCATTTGGCTTGCCAGCGGGCACCGCGTCATCTGGCAAGGCAGTGTGGGCACGGGTCACCAGGCATTGGATCGTCTGGCTCGACAGCGGGCATCGGGTCACCAGGTATGACAGCGGGCACTGGGTCACCAGGCATCAGGTCATTTGGCTCGCCAGAGGGCACCCGCGTCTCATCTGGCAAGGCAGTGGGCACCGAGGTCACCAGGTACTACAGCGGGCTCTGAGTCAATTGGCACGACAGCGGACACCGGATCAGGTACCGGATCATCTGGATCAACAGCGGGCATCGAGTCACTGGCCTAATAGGATCATCAGGCTGGATCAGTTCATCAGGGCTGAGTGGAGGCATCAGGCTGAGTAGAGGCTCAGGCTGGAGTAGAGGCATCAGGCTGAAGAGAGGCATCAGGCTGAAGAGAGGCATCAGGCTGGTGTACAGGCATCAGGCTGGGGTACAGGCATCAGGCTGGGTACAGACCTCAGGCTGAAGTGCGGGTGCCGAAGGGCACCAGGCTGAACCACGGCTAAGGCAGGTTCTCAGACGGCAGGCTCACCGGTTTGGATACTGGCAGGATGGTACTGGTTGGAAAGAATTTTTGCGCTTTTTTCTGGTTTTAACTACTTTAGCACTGCAAGTAAACGCAGGTCTGCAAATGAATGGAGCAGCTGGAGACAGAGAAGAGCTGGGAGGATGGAACAGGGGAGGGAGAGGGAGCAGTTGCTACAGAGGGCTTTTTTTTTTACAGGGTTAAAGGCAGGTCGAGGAGTAGGTGCAGCGCTAGTAGTGGGAACAGGTATGACATGCGGTAGATAGCAGGGCAGGAGGAGCTTGTTGGGCAATGCAGGAAGGAATAGAGCCTTTGAGGAAATAGATTAGAAGCTCAAGGACTGGGTTTTTGTAGGCTGACTGAGGCTGGGTGCAACAAATCTGTCCATGTATGCAGTATGGGTTGATACTTGTTGAACACAAGCTGAGCTTACATCCAAAGCCTATGTCTGACCAAAATGACTCTGCACGTGCTGCGTTTTATACAATCTCTTAGTATCTGTGGTGAACATGCAGCATAAAGCGGGCTCCAAGAAGCAACAAGTCCACATCATCCTTATATAACCCATACCAGGGACTGCTACCTGGTCGGCACTAAATGGCGGCAAAAAAGTTCATCCCTGATTCACATGGGCGTGGTTGGACTTGACTACAGGTGGTCACTAGATGATAACCAACTCAGGCTGACTCCCAAAAACTTCATCTGACATTCAGGGGGAGCAATACGCAGATGAAATCCAAAACTCGGCACAAAATCTGAATCAATGGCTGCACCTCAGAGAATTCTGTCTGCCACTGATCTACTAGACATGAGCGAGCTCGTATACTCATTCTAGCAGTTCACCCGGGGATACTTTTTCAGAGTTTGATAAGCATTACTCTCTGTTATCAAAACAATAGCAGATATAAATACACAACCTCATCAAGGATCCCCATCCTTCCCATCATGTCAACTACAAACCAAGATGGCTTCCACTGTGCAGCCACTTCTGTGTCAGGCAATTGGCCTTGGGTGTACAGTCAGGGCTCCGGGTATGACCAGAGGTGTGTGACTGACACAGGGAAAAATGCAGACTTCAGATAATGTTATAAACAATATTATTTATTGACACTAACAATACAAACATAAACGCTGTGCAATACTATAAAAACTTAACACAGTGCAAATCGAACCAACCAACCCACCCACAGATAACAGTACATACAATGCAAGCAGTCATTTCAGGCAGGACTGGGTCAATATCAATCGGGCAGGTAGGTACAGGGGGAGCAAGCTGGGAGAATTGTGGGTCGGGTGTTACAGAAGCCAGGTTCAGCAGGTAGCGGGCAGCGTCAGTACAGAGGGTCAGGCAGCCGAGGGCCATGGTCAGGAACGAGCCCGCGGGGTCAGAGCGGAGAAGAGAGAAGTCAGCAGAGGTCAGATCAGGCAGGGTCTATAAGCAAAACAAGTGACAGTGAACGAGGAACAGGGATATGCAGGAACAGGATACAGGGCCCAGGAAAAACACAGACACCAAGGCAGAGTCTGCAGGTCTGGCCATCCCACCTTAAATACAACAGTAATAATCAGTTCACAGGTGATTTTGACTGGCTGCAAGGGTTGAGTCTCTGATTGCTGGGGAGCACATCCGCTGGCCCAGCCCAGGTACTGCAGCTCATAAGGCAGGTGGAGTCCCACCATTGCTGGCCAGTCCGATTCCTGACACGCATGGACTCAATATGCCTCTCAGCATATAGCATAGGGTGTCTAATTTCTGAATAGGGGTTCATTTGGGGGTGTTTTGTACTGTCTACCTGGTATTTTAGCACCTTCAATAAATTGTGTGACAGGCAGTCAGTCAGGTAAAAGCTGTGTAAATTCCATGTGTACCATTATCTATACCCATAGTTTGTAGATGCTATAACTTTTACACAAAGCAGCGATCAATATACACTTATTGGGATTTTTTATCACAAAACATGTAGCCAGAATACATTTTGACCTAAATTTATGACTAAATTTTAGTTTTTTGGATATTTTTTATGATCAAAAAGATTAAAAAATATTGGTTCTTTTCAAAATTTGAGGGTTTTTTTGTTTGTCGTTTAGCGTGAAAAATAAAAAGAGTGCAGACGGCAACCAAATACAACCTGTGCAAAGAAAGCTCAATTTTTATTTTTTGTGAAAAAAAGAACATAAATTTCATTTATGTACAGTATTGCATGACCGCACAATTGTCAGTCAAATAGTGCAGACGCTGTTATATAGCAAAAAAAATTGGCGAAATGTAAATTGCACTATCTACTTACCATAGTTTGTAAACGCTATAACTTTCACACACAAAGCAATCAATGTAATACACTTATTGTGGATTTGTTTTTTTACCAGCAAGAAACATGTTAGCAGAATACATTTTGGCCTAAATTTATGACTAAATAGATGTTGGAGTACATTACTATTATTTTTTTTTTATAGCGAGTGTGAAAGTAAAAAATATCTTATTTTTCCAAATTTTTGGTCTTTTTGTTTTTTTGTTTATAGCTGTGAAACCATAAAAAAGCACACAGGTGATCAAATACCACGCCAAAATTGTGAAAGCTCTATTTGTTTGGAAAAAAAAGGACAGGATATCACATTTCATTTGGGTACAGCATTGCGGATGACCACGAAAATTACAGTTTAAAAATAGTGCAGCGCTGGTATAGCATGATAAAGAGGCCTGGTCGTGGAAGGTGGGGGTGGGAGGTAAATCCTTAGGAGGGCAGTGAGACGTGGTATTAAACAGGTCAAAAATGGGTGTATCAACATAAGTCAAGTATTTTTTGTTTTTCAGTAAAAGATGCCAGTCCTAAGGGCATATCTGACATTCATTGAAGGATAAGGCTGTATCTTCCTGGTGCACCTGTCTTAAGTGGCTAGAAGTGTTTAATTCATCACTTTGGAGCCAGTTAAGTCTATCACTCCTTGTGGAATGCACTTGTAAATACTAGGCAGAGCTTCTTACACTCTTACTACATTTAGGTCTTAGGCAAACTGACATCTCCAGCTATCGTGGTCCATCTTTGCACAGGCCTATTATGTTGAGACAACTAGATAATGGAAACTTAAGGAGAACAAGGCCACTACAAATGTTCGGACGACAGAAGTAAGGCACAGAGAGTTAGTCTTCCAATAGCGAAATGTAGATTCATTGACCTCTCTTGTACATGATGATCTAAAATCAAGGGTGTGAATGTTAATTGTGTTTTTTTAACATAAATAAGAGAGGTAAGAAGGAGGAGGATGGAGTATAGATGCCAGAATGCAGAAATTGGTGGCAATAATGGCAGCAAATGAGTGGTGAAAATAGGTGGAACATCATTTGGGCATTTCTTAGTTGAATGTATATCAAATTAAATTTGAGTGTTTGATGATACTCGCTGTTATCCAGACACTGATTATTTCAATAAAAGTCAGCTTCTCAGACTGAAATCATCACCCCACTGCACTAAAGGCCCACATCTCATGAATTGACACTTCTGCAGAGCAGTCTGTTACTCTAAAGCACATATTGGGCCCACCTCGCAGTCAGTGTCATTGCTCAATATCAGCCAGTCGTAGTCCTTTTTTTTTTTTTATTTTACAGCCTTGTCATCCTGCCTGTGTTTGCTGGATCAGGGCAGCCTTACGAGGAAAAAAACCAAAACAAAAACACAACACAGGAAATCTGTAAAAAAAAGTTTTAACGCAGAAACCCAGGCTGTAAAAATGTTGTTTGTTTTGAAGCATGCAGTGAGGCTGTGCCCGGCACCGCATGGGCTTACTGCTCGTTTTTGTTTAGGGTGGTGATAACAGTGAGAGCATATACTCAGTACTAGTACCGAATCCTGTCTGTGAACCTCCCTCAGAGCGCAAGGGTTGAGGTTGATCTGTGTGAGGATGGCAGGAGCAGTCCACACGGATCTGGACATGGAGGACTGCGGTTTTACGGAGGATTGGAGGACATGGGTAAGTACAGCTCTTCCCTTAAACAAGCTCGTGCAAAGGTTGTAATCTACTAAACATTGTAAACTGCTCAAAATCCCATTTTATAAGCACCAGGAGCTCCAAAGGATTTTGCTACAATCTACAGAAAATGACATAACCTTTGGAACTAAACAGATACAGTATGGGGTGTTGCAGATACTCTTCCATGAGCAACACAGAACAATAAATCACATGGTATAAGGGATGTTAGTTGGAGGATAGAGAGGAATTAGCTCCACAAAGGATACACAAGGCCTGAACCAGCTAATATAACATTATAAGGATGATACTATAGAATTATATTCTGACAGCTATGAGGAAGGGTGACATTGCGGTACAAATATTGCCGCTTGCTCAAATACAAAAGTAGTGCATGAGGACACTGTAAAGGTACGAAGTTTACTATACCTGAAAAATCCAACCCCATACAAAAAAAAACGGACCTCTTCAATTTTTACATACCTACTCAAGGCTCAAAAACTCCCTCGTTTGAAACTACAGGTCAAACACAAAGGGCTTTGTCCACATATCAGTTGCATTTTGCCATCTAGCAAGATCGAATGGAAAATATTATTATTATTATTATGACATATGTATTCTAGACAGTGTACAATAGTTCACTCAGCGCTGTACTGATCTCCAAAGGGGGGCCCAGAACAGTGACAGCCCCATAACTATCCCCTCCCAATCATTCTCGTTCCCTCCTTTCTTCTCCAATCATATTTTTTCCTTTATCTATTACTTCTCTCTATGTTCTTCATCACTATCCCCTATACTCCCTTTTTATTTTACTTCAACTCCTGACTTATTCACAACTTCTATTCCAACCCTTCTCTTCTCTACTTATCACCACATGATATTCGAATTTCCCTTTCTCAACCCAAGCTTCATTTATCCCCATTCTCCTACATTATTATTTTTCCATTTTTATTTTTCTCACCCATATTTCACAATTCTAATCTCATTCCCTTCCTATATTTCCCTTTCCCCTATTCCCCTTTTATTTATATTTTATCAACAATAACAACTAACCAACTATAGATTTATCATCCTAATATCTTTTACACATCCTTAATCCCTCCCCTCCCAAAATCTCCTAAAAAACCTTTACCCACCTACTACAACCCTTAGTCCCCCACATTACACAATCACCTAACCACACCCATGCAATCCTACAATCTTTAATTTCATTCTACCAATGCAACCCCCTTACATCAATTATAGTCCACTCGTAAAACACCCCCTCATTACCCTATATTCTCACTACCCCCCCCCCCCCCACCATACACCTACTGACCCCAGTCACCCCTACCCCCGCACACCTCCCCCACTACTCAAACCCTGTGCATAAACAACCTCACTTCCACCCACCCCATACCCCTCCCCGACCATCTCGATACTCATATTGCGACACACTCCCTCAAGTATCTCCTCATACGCGCACTCCTCCTTACACACATACGTTCTCACATTCGGACTGTGACACGCTTACCCCCCCCCCCCCCAGGTGCCCATACACTTCCGTATATCCGCTACAGTATCGCCTCACCCAAAGCTCCCCAGTGCCCGTGACGCAGTCCCCATCTCAGTATCTACTTACAGTTTCTGATATAGCCTAGCGAGTGTAGGTACGACGATACGTGTGTCCCCATCATGAGCAACTGATATATTATCTGTCGCTACCACATCATTCCCATATAGCGCACCTCCTTATATGTGACTAGATATTCCGATCTCACACACGATGCCATAAAGTGATAAATCTCATATGTGTGCTCTATTTGATCAGGTTGAGCACTTGAAATACTGTACTTGGAGCACTTCCCACCCACTTCCCCCACGTTTAATACCATGAGCCATATGCTCCACACGCTGAGTCATCTCACAGTTACCACCACCGTGCCCCCTCGACGTTAATGTGACTGGATTATAATTTTTCAATTACTCCGACCAATTTTTTTAGTTTATCGGTCTTTTTTTTTGAGATATCTATGACATCTACCATGTGACTATGACCCCCCCCCCCGACTTCATACAGATCTCCACCGTACGCAATCCTCTGGTCTCCCCACCAATCCCCGGCTCGCCACTCATCCCATATGCTAATAGAGTCTCCAGAATTACACCTCCAATACTCCTGAATACCCTCGACGCCCCCGCTTGCACACCAGTTGTCTACACATACACACATATCCCCCTCCCAGTCTCACTCTCATGAGTCTGCCTCCATCGTCACAGACTATAGTCACTGGAGTCCGCGCACGCCTAATCTCCCACATATACCACACGTCTGCGCCTACCCGGCCTATGCCAACGCTAATCAACACTTATACACACTAAGACACCTAACATCTCAAGTCACTACCTTGCCCCGTTGTTCCGCTATCACCTCGCCTTCTACATAGTCATCGAGGTCCCCACAGCTCCCCAAACGGCTCGACCGATATGTAGCTATATTACTCCTCAGTACTGTCTCCTTGCCCCGTGTCCTGTCTCAAGACGATCTCGCTAAAGCTCATCTCCACCTCCTACTCGTATCGTGGCCCGCCCCTGCT